CGAACGAATAATTAAAAATAACATCTACTTACAAAATCATAAGTACACACTCAATAAAAAGTTAAGTGAGTTTCGGTCTGATTCGGCTCGAGAGAGCTCTGGCAGGTCTCCTGTGGAGGAAACTTACCTGGTTCCTGCTTCTTTATCCACAAACGGTGCCAGCTTTGGCTCCAAGCAACTACCGGGTCAACTTAATATCCACTCTCGAAAACTGTTTTAACAGACGAATGAAACGACGTAACATTGCCCGACAAAATGCAAACGTGACGGATTCATAAATTCCAGTGAGGTACCTTCGTAGGACCTGGGCTCCCAGGTCTTCTTAACAGGTCTGACCGGAGATAATGCCAGAGGTAGAATGCCGCTGCAATTGTAGTCTCGCCGGCTGCAACTGGACTTTTTGTTTCCAACAGAGAAAATTCCAAACCACAGGGTGTACATTCGCCCCTGCATTCTTTCGTATTTTTAACACACACGCATAGTAAGCCACGCATGCACGGAGATATAATTTTGTTGGGTAGCTGAAGTTCAGAGGAAGTGGCTAAGGTAACAGCTGCAACTTCAAACAACAATAACAACCACCACCAATAAATGTTCACCGTTGTGCAACCATCTGTGAAGGCGCTAGGCTAGAGCTATGGGGTCTCTCAAAATTCATTGCACCCTAATAACACACTCTCACTTTTTAATGCTATGTATATATTTCACAATTTACTTAACCTTTAACCTTTGGGACCGCTTCTACCCTGCTTGGCATAGAATTAATGAGATTCTGGAAGGCCTCCAAGGGAATTTTTCTCCAGGCGTCCAGCGAGGAGCTCTCCAAACCAGCAATAGTAGTAGGAGCGGACAGTTTCGTGTCAACCATCTTACCAATAATTGACTATATTGGATTCAAGTCAGGACTTCTTGCTAGCCACATATATTTCCTCCAGAAATTTGGAATTTTCTCTGGCATCTACCTCTGGGTCTCCAGAGTTGTATGAACTGTGGCCCTGTCCTGCATAAAATTTATCCTTGACATGCCCGGAACAAGTTTATTTCCCAAGTTTGACCTGCTCACAAGATTTTTTCCAATCCTTTATACAGGTTTTGCTCTATGATCTCCTCTCCGTAATATTCACCATTCACTCGTTAACCCTGTGGTACAATGTTGAGACTAGAGAGCCCCCCAAAGGAAATTCCTCTCCACACCAAGACTGTAGGACTAAACTTTGGAACTTCAAAATTCTCAGCCATGTTGCGACTTGGACCCCAAATAACGTCACCTTTTGTTTTTGGCAGATGGAACAGTT